CTAGTTGTTGATGGACCTTTATTTTATTCATTTATTTATATGTGGTGCTGAGAATCGAACCCAGTAGCTCAGAGGTAGAGCGCTTGCCTAGCACATGTAAGGCACTGGATTCTATCCTTAGTACCACATAAAAATAAATAAAATAAAGGGGTTGTGGCTCAGTGGTAGAGTGCTTGTCTAGCATGTTTGAGGCACAGGTTTTCTGAGGAATCTCCATACTGCTTTCTAGAGTGATTGCATCAATTTGCTGTCCCACCAGCAATGTACGAGTGTACCTTTTTCCTCACATCGTCACCAACATTTATTGTTACTTGTATTCTTGACAATTGCCATTCTAAGTGGAGTGAGATGAAATCAGGTTCTTAACACCATATCTAAATAAATAAATAAATATCCATCAATAACTAAATTTTTTTAAAAAGGTATTGTGTCCATAAAAACATTTTAAAAGAGAGAGAGGAATAAATGGGAATTCATCAAAATTAAAAATATCGGGCTGGGATTGTGGCTCAGTGGTAGAGTGCCTGCCTAGCATGGGCGGGACCTGGGTTTGATCCTCAGCACCATATAAAAATAAAGGCATTGTGTTGTGTCCATCTACACCTAAAAAATAAATATTTTTTTAAAAAAGAGTTTAAAAAATTAAGAATATCCATTCTACAAAAGATATTTTAAGAAAAGGAAAAGTCAAACCACAGATATTTGGAGTAATCATTTGCCAAGCATTTCTCTGAGAACAAAACTTATATCCAGAATATAGAACTCACAACACTGAGAAAGAAAACTAGCCAATAAGAAAATGGGCAAAAATTATGAAAAAAAAGTTCCATATTCAGATGGCAAATAAGCACAAGAAAAGACTCTTAGCATTCTTAGCTATCAGGAAAATGCAAATTAAAACCACAAAGAGATATTATTACATATGTATTAGAATGGCTAAATTTTTTTTAATTAAAAAAAAAAAGTTCTCCAGTGACTTCTCTTCTCACTTCAGACAGTTAAGGCTGATATCCCTTCAAGGATCTAAAAACTCCTCCTTGACCATTCATCTAGTCTCATCTACTGTTTCTTTCTCTGCTCCAGTTCCACTCATCTCCTTGCTGTCTGAGTCCCTGGCATGTCCTATTTCAGGGGTTTTATGCCTTTTTTAAAAAATATTTTTTTTTAGTTGTAGAAGGACACAATACCTTTATTTTATTTACTTATTTTTATGTGGTGCTGAGGATGGAACCCAGTACCTCATACTTGCGAGATAAGCACTCTGTCACTGAGCCACAATGCCAGCACTATGCCTTGTTTTTTATGGTTTTTGTTTTGGATGTACTAGGGATTGACAGGGATGTTCTATCAGCCTAGCCAAATACTTCTCATCATCATCATCTTCTTCTTCTTTTTTTCCTTTTGATATATGGGACTAGCATACAATATATTTTACTCATTATTCTTATTTGGTATCTGCCTCCTCCAGAGCTCAACGAGGGTAGTATCTCCAATGCGCGGCTGTAGTATGCATTCACATATCAAGTGATATTTATTTTAATTCTGAGCCTAGAAGCAGTTGCTCAGCATTTCATATAGAATTTGGATTCAGGGTTATGCCAATTCTAAAGAGTTCTGAACTATAATAAAGAGAGCCTAGAAAATTCTGAGCACTCACCTGATGGACTATACTTCAGGTCATTTAGCAAAGAGGTAGTTGGCGCCTCAGAGGCAGGTGAAGCAGGCTCGCACACATTTAGGTCTTCATCCTTCATTTTATCTATCCTGGCTCTTTCTGTATTTAGACTACCCTTACAAAAGAACAACACTTAGATGAACTTGTTTTTAATTACTGTCATATTCAGATTTTTCCTCACATTAAGGGACTGTTGTTCTCCATTAAAGAGAGGATCCTTTCACACACTGTTTACATGGGCATAAGGATGCTATCTAGAGATGGAAGAGACATCCACATTTTCCTTCTCATTTCTCTCCCCTTAGGCCATTTTAGGAATCAAGCAGCTAGTGGATGAGGGTTAAGTCTTTCTCCCTACTGTGTATTTGGAAAACCTCATAATGAAGAAAATTATCCCATCATACCTAACAGAAGATGCCTTTTCTCTCACTGCACCTTGCTCCACTTCATCCAGCAGTTCCACTGAAAAATAACCAAATAGCTTCCAACAGTTTCCAATCAGAAAGCAATTAATCATCCTTAGCCCCACAGACCCAGTGTGACTATGTATTACAAATAGTAATTGGAAGCAAAGTGTTAGAACACAAAGGGCTACATTGGCCAGCAATAAATACAGCAAAAAAGACTATCAAAAGTACCATGGAAGGGGCTAGGGTTGTGGCTCAGCGGTAGAGCGCTCGCCTTGTGTGTGTGAGACCCTGGGTTCGATCCTCAGCACCACATAAAAATAAATAAGTGAAATAAAGGTATTGTGTCCAATTACAACTAAAAAATAAATAGTAAAACAACAACAAACAAACAAACAAAAGTACCATGGAGGGGCTGGGGCTGTAGCTCAGTGGTCAAGGGCTTGCCCCGCATGTGTAAAACACTGGGTTTGATCCTCAGCACCACATAAAAATAAATAAAGATACTGTGTGTTCATCTACAACTAAATAAAATTTTAAAAAAGTACTATGGAGGGGTAAGGGGTGCAAAAGAGATGGTGGAATGAGATGGACATCATTACCCTAAGTACATGTATGAAGACACAAATGGTGTGAATATATTTTATATTCACAACCAGAAATATGAAAAATTGTGCTCTATATGTGTAATATGAATTGTAATGCATTCTGCTGTCATATATAACAAATTAGAATTAAAAAAATAAAAAAAGTACTATGGATTCCCAATATTATGTCCGAAGCTTCTTGGTTACTTAGCAGGATTAAAACTTCTCAATATGGCCCCCTTATCCTTTTACATCCCCAAGGCTGCCTTTGCTGTCATTCACATTGGTTCCAGAGTTTTTGTTTTACTCATCCCAATTCTAATGCGCCTTCCCTCACACTATACTGTTGAAGGGTAATCATATACAGATCTGTCACTGGCAACTCTCAGGCTAATGCCATTATTGCTCAGTGACATGAAAGGCAGTGAAAATCCCAAAAGAATTACAAGAGAAATATTCCAAGGATATTATGAAACCATTTAGCTTTAACCTAATTGTTCAGGGAATCTAGGGAAACATTGTATTTCATTGATTCAGAGATGCACATTTTAAACAGCTCTGAAATTGATTGTGATTTACAATAATTGCACATTATAGCTGCATTGCAGCTTCTTTCTAAATGTTCAAAAAGTAAGAATCTTATAATTATTGACATCTTAGATTCAATACAGTACATTCAGTATTTTTTATTTTTCATGGAAAAAGTTTCTCAGAGGGCCACTGTGTTTCAAATGTCTTTTTTTTTTTTTTTCTGGTACCAGTGAATCTAAGGCAGCAAATTGGAATTTACTAAAAATGTCAATTAGTCATTATTGTGCTCTTGATAATTCTTACTCAAGGTGTTTTCTGGGGAAATTCCTTCATGGTTGATTAGGCCATGGGACAAAAAAGGAGAAAACCATCCTCTGAGCTTAAAAATTATGAATAAAGGTCAAGACCTCAGAGAGAATTTAGGAGAAAATAAATTATATGTGTACAGATTATAGAACTGGTTAGTGTCAGCCTTCTTTGGATTAGGGAGGTGTTCTAGTGATTCCTTCACTTCTTTACAAACTCAACCACCATTCAGTTCTGTTCTAGTCAAGTTCTGCTCTGCTACAAAGGCTATTTATCCCCCTTGGTGGTGCTGGGGATCAAACCCGGGCCTGTGCATGGTAGGCCAGCACAGTTATTGAGGTACACACTCAGCCCTGAAAAGGCTATTAAAACAAAAGTAAGAATTTCAGGGCTGGGGTTGTGGCTCAGTGGTACAGTGCTTACCTGGCATGTGTAAGGCAATGGGTTCAATTCTCAGCACCACATATAAATAAATAAATAATATAAGGATCCTTTGACAATTAAAAAAAAAAAAGTAAAATTTTCACTTTCATTCAGTGGCACATGCCTATAATCCCAAAGGCATGGGAGGCATCGACAGGAAGATCTTGAGCTCAAAGCCAGTCTCAGCAATTTAAGGAGGCCCTAAGCAACTTAGCAAGACCCTGTGTGGTTGAGTGCCCTTGGCTTCAATTCCTGATACCAAAAAAAAAAAAAAAAAAGCAAAAAGAATTTCACCTTTACTATCGCCATCTTCATCACCACTATAAAAAGAAGTTCAAGGTACAAAGCATTTATGGCAGCATACTCAGTAAGAAAGGACAGTGAGGTAGCTATCCAGACCTATCTAGCTTGAAGTAGCTCTGAATTGGCAATCATTAATTTGGTGAGATTTTTATCTCCTCCTGAATTCTAGTTTTCTCACAAAGTAAAGCAATCTTTCACACAGCTGGAAAGTTTTGTTTGCAGAAGTCCTCAAACTTTCCTCAGATCTGCTCCAACAGTGAGAAATGCATAGCCCTACATCCCAGAATTCCTGTTCCTCTGCCCTTTCACCCTGCATTGATCTTTACTTCTCCTTGGAGGGCATCATTTGAGTTCTTGAAAGTGTATTGTACATCTTGCTCACAAACTGTTTTTCTCTTATCGGATTTGACTTATCTGAAGGGCAGACTAAATGAGCTTCTATAGCTACTCTTGAAGCAACAATTGGACCTACTCTTACTAAATGTCTTTGGCCAAAAGAAATGAGAACAAATTACATCCTGCAATTCCAAAATACAAAAGGTTGCTGGGTGCAGTAATGCATGCCTGTAATTCCAAAGATGTGAGAGGCTGAGGCAGGAGGATTATAAGTTCCAAGCCAGCCTCAGCAGCTTAGTGAGACCCTGCCTCAAAAAATAAAAAGGGCTGGGGATGCAGCTCAGTGACAGAGGATTCTTGGGTTCAATCCCTAGTATTACATTTAAATAAAATAAAAAATCTAAAAAGCTATGAGAACAAAATTTTTGTTTTAACTCTTGGTGGCAAAACCTGACTTGACAAACTTATTTATAGTCCACTTCATTTCACTGAGTGTGATTATTGACCCCTTTCTCTAGAAAAAAAAAATGTTTTATTACAGGGTGTTATCTAGTCTATGTTGCATTTTCTAAAAACTCAGAACAATTCTGAATTCTCACATATGTGACTTCCAGTTCTCAGAAAAGAGATTGTGAATAGATGCTGAATGTTGGTGTTTGACTAGACTACTGACCAAGGCAAACCCTTCCTATTCAGGTTCCTGACTTGGCTTGCTGGCTGACTCTATAGTTATAAGTGGACCTCAGACTGAGAAACCAAAATGATTCTAATTCTGTGAGACTATTCTATTCATAGACATCCTCTGAAACAATATAAGAAAGGATATTTCTCAAACATCAACTTTGAGAATTTAAAAATGCAATATTAAAAGACAATACCTCATTTTATTTCAAATATTGGAATGAGAGAGAGCAGTAAGTTTACTATTATAAATCCCAATACCAGAATTTAGGGAACACGAAACTCTCACCATTCACAATCTCATGCCCAAAAAACATCTTCACTCCTGGAACACTCCGGCCTGTCTCCACATTCTTCACTGTTATAGAAAGTAATTCATTTGATTAATATTAAATATTATTTTCCTAAAACTGAGAGAGGCAATATGATACTTTTTAAAATTGCTACTTTATGTCATATTATATGCTTAAAAGAGACAATAATCTGATTCCTAACTCTTCTGTGCGTAAGAGAATTAGGAGAAGTTTACGTGTCAAGTCCTCAATATACAGTCATGCTATCATTTTCTAGATGGAAGTACTATCTGTTTATTTCCACATCTCTCAGCAAAAATTAAAATAACTTGTTTCTTTTTTTCTTTCTTTTGGTACTAAGGATTAAACCCAAGGGTGCTTAACCACTGACCTGTTTATCCCCAGCGCTTTTTCATATTTTGCTTACAGATAGGGTCTTGCTGAGTTGCTTACAGCCTTGGTAAATTGCTGTGGCTGACTTTGAACTCATGATCCTCTAGCCCCAGCCTCCCAACCCGTGGCCTCAAACTTTCAATCCTGCTGCCTCAGCCTCCCAACTAACTGAGATTATAGGTATATGACACTGTGACCTATGGGAGACCTTGTGTTAAAAAAAAAAAAAAAAAAAAGACATAGTTTAGTGGTAGAGTGTCTCTGAATTCAATTCTCAGTTCTGAAATAAATAAAAATAAAATATCCCTCACCTTTGCCCAGTAATTTCATTTCTAGGAACTATTCCTAAAAAAATAGTTGTAAGTCCAAGTACAAAAAAGTTTAAGTCTTTTGCTTTACAATGTCCAATCATTAAATTGAAGTTTTAAATAACATGAGAATATGCTTCTTATAATATTAATTTAAAAACAGCAATTGGGTGGGGCTGGAATTGTGGCTCAGTGGTAGAACATTTGCCTAGCACATGTGAGGCACTTGGTTTGATCCTCAGTACCACATAAAAATAAATAAATAAAATAAAGGTATTATGTCCATTGACAACTAAAAAAAATATTAAAAAAAAAAAAAACAGCAGCTGGGGCTGGGTGTGGTGGTTCACACCTGTAATCCCAGTGGCTCAGGAGGCTTGAGACAGGAAGATAATGAGTTCAAAGCAGCCTCAGCAAAAGCAAGGCATTAAGCAACTCAGTGAGACTCTGTGTCTTAATAAAATACAAAATAGGACTGAGGTTGTGACTCAGTGGTTGACTGCCCCTGAGTTCAATCCCTAGTACCCCCAGAATAATAATAAAATAAAATAAAATACAAAATAGGGCAGGAGATGTGGCTCTGGGGTTGAGTCCCTCTGAGTCAATCCCTGGTACCTGCCCCCTCAAAAAAAAAAAAAAAAAAAAAAACAGCTGATACAGTGGTTGACACTTGTAGTCCCAGCTACTTAAAAGGCTGTGGCAGAAGAATTGCTTGAGGCCAGAAGTTCAAGGTCAGCCTGGGCAACATAATGAGACTCCTCCTGCTGTTTTTATTTATTTATTTATTTTTGAGGAGGTACCAGGATTGAACTCAGGGACACTTGACCACTGAGCCACATCACCAGCCCTATTTTGTATTTTATTTAGAGACAGAGTCTCATCAAGTTGCTTAGCACCTCACTTTTGCTGAAGCTGGCTTTGAACTTGAGATCCTCTTGCCTCAGCCTCCTGAGCTGCTGGGATTACAGGTGTGTGCCACTGTGCCCATGAGAATCCTGCTTTAAAAAAAATAAAAGTACCAACTCTGCGGGGTTGGAGTTGTAGCTTAGTGATAGAGCACTTGCCCAGCACATGTGAGGCATTGGGTTCCATCCTCTGCGCCACATAAAACTAACTAAATAAAGGTACTTGGCCCATCTACAACTAAAAAAATTAAAAAGTATATATGAACTGGGTGTGGTGGCACACACCAGTAGTCCCAGCAGCTTGAGAGGCTGAGGCAGGAAGATCACAAGTTTGAGGCCAGCCTCAGCCATTTAGGGAGACTCTGTCTCAAAAATAATAAAAAGGACTGGGTTTAGTGGTAAAGTAACTCTGGTGTCAATCCTCTGTACTATGCCCTACAAAAAAAGAGTACTTATGATAGATATAATTTATTATATCAACTATGTAAAATCTGTATAATCATACTAGGGAATGATATTGGTCAAATTATATTGTTATATCATGTGCATGTATAAATATGTAACAACAAATACTATCATTATGTATAATTATAATGCACTAATAAAAATATGTAAAAAAATCTTTATAATTAGCCTATTAAAAAATACATCTGGACTAACCACCTTGGAAACAAGCACATGATATTTACTGCGTGTTGTTTACTCCATGCTACTTTTATTTTTATTTTTTTAGATGTTGGTGGATTTTTATTTTATTCATTTATTTATATGTGGTGCTGAGAATTGAACCCAGTGCCTCACACATGCTAAGCAAGTGCTCTAGCACTGAGCCATAACCCCAGCCCCTCCATGCTATTTATTCAGGTTTTCAATGTGTCCAATCTACCCTGCAGATAGGTATGAACTGTTGAACTTCCAGGACATTTCTTTAAGGGGAATGACTCAGATGAGAGTAACATCCTTTCCCCCTTTCCTTGTTTTCCTATCTGTAACTCTACCAGCTATCATTTGTCCTAGAGGTTTGAAGCCATGTGCTAAGGATAGTTGGGCAGAAAAAATAAAATGTTGGATCCTTGCTGACATGAGAGAAGTCGCAGCAACCCTGTGATACCTGTCTTTTTTTTGGGGGGTGGGGAGTGGGGGGAGGTTAACCAGGGATTAAACTCAGGGGCACTCAACCACTGAGCTACATCCCCAGCCCTAATTTGTGTTTTATTTAGAGAGAGGGAGGGGCTCACTGAGTTGCTTAGCACCTTGCTTTTTGCAGAGGCTGGGTTTGATCAAAAGATCCTCCTACCTCAGCCTCCTGAGCTGCTGGAATCACAAGTGTGTGCCACCATGCCCAGCACCTGTCTTCTTCTTTTTTTTTTTTAATACGGATTTTTTTACTTTGTTTATTTATATGTGGTGCTGAGGATTGAACCCAGGGCCTCACACATGCCACGCAAGCACTCTACCACTGAGCCACAATCCCTGTCTTCTTTTATATGAGAGAATACATTTCTAATTTGTTTAAGCCACTGGATGCAACATGGCATGTGGATGTGGTAGTTTGATCTGTCAGGCCACACATAAAACCAGTCATGTGTGGCCTGACAGATCAAACTACCACATGCCATACACTCAAATGGAAGCTAAGTGTGATTCCCGACACAGCATTAAGGTTTTTAGGCAACTGCTAGGTAAAGTGACGAATCCCAGTAGCCCTAGCAACTTGAGGAAGCTGAGTCAGGAGGATATCAAGTTTGAGAACAGACTCAGCAACTTAGGCCCTAAGCAACTTAGCAAGATCCTGTCTTAAAATAAAAAATAAAAAGTTTTAGGGATGTAGCTCAGTGGTATAGGGTCCCTAGGTCCAATCCCTAGTACCAAAAAAAAAAAAATATATATATATATATATATTTTTTTTTTTTTAAGTTTTTTTAAAGGCAACTAACTTGTAAATTCATATGCTTCCCACTTAAAAATGTTTTATTATTCCTCACTGCCTTCAGAATAATGTTCAAACAGTATAATTTTCAAGTCCTTCTGATCTGCCCGATCTGCTTACTTCTCTATTCTTACCTCTCTCCATATCCTCATATTGAAATTTACTTAGGTTTTCTAAATGTCTTTATGTATGTGTACATACTCATACCTCTGCTTAGAACAGTAGTCCTCTAAAAGTGTGACTCAAAACACAGCATCCCTATCTATCCTTGGAAAGTTTGATAGAAATGCAAAATTTTGGGCCCATCCCAGACCTTAACAGAAACAGAAACTCTGAGGATGTGGCTCACAAACTCTTGACTGGGGATATAACTCAGTTGAGAAAAATTAATGCTTTACCATCTTTGTGATTTGTCTGTTGAAGCCAAAAGCTTCTAAGAGATTTTTTATTTTTAATTTAAGATGTTTATGTAGAGAAAAGAAATACCCAATTAAAAATTATATATTAGAAATTTCCACTAACACATCAATAAAAATATAGAAATGGGGACCAACTGGCACCTGCAACCATGCTGCTGTGTTAAGAAATATCTTATTTTCATCCCTCCCTAAAATAGGAATAATGTCACTTGTCCAGTTGCTAATGGAGCCCAAAGTCATCACTCATACTCAGTCATCTCATAAAAGGCAGAAGAATATGAGAAATAAGTAAGACCTTTCTTCAGGACAACAATCTTGTTAGGGTCCACATGCTGGAGCACGCCCTCGAAGATGCCACAAACCAATGTGAGTTTCACTCTTCTCCACAAAATCTGATTGAGGAAATGGTAGTCACTGCTGGGATCCATGCTCTTTGATTCCAAAAGAAGTCTTCAAATAATCTTCTTTAAGCATCCAAACACTTGAAAATTAATTAAGGAGATCTATGATTTTAAAAAGACTATTTTGAGTATTACTTTCCCTTCTCTCCTATTTGTAGGGACACAAATAAAAGAAGGAGTAATTTGTTTTTGTTCATTTTTTTAGAATGCTAATGAGAAAAGAACCATTGCAAGCACAACTCAAATTCATACAAGGGAAACTAAAAACTGTAAGACTTGGGGCAAGGGAGGCTTGACTCCTTTATAAGATGAGCATAATATCACCTTTCTTTCTACTGAAAGTGTAGCTAAATAGAACAAACAGAACATTTAGAGTTGCTTTAATGGCACACTGTGCTGTTTTTGACAAAAAAAGAAAAAAAGAATGAAAGAAACTGATATTGGCAAGAGTACTTTGCCACACATGTTGCAGTAAGTGTTTACCCAGAACTGTCTGGGATGTAACCTCTTCTGGATTAATATATTAAGAGTGTGACACACTGTTACCAACCAAAGCATAAATGTTAGAACTATCAGAATTTATGCATTACTATTTTGGCTTCCAAGATGTCACACTGAAAGGCCCATTCCCCATTACCCTGGCCATAGCTCAGGGACAAGGGTCCTTCCTATAGTGTCACCAACCAGTCATGTGTAGCCTGACAGATCAAACTACCACATGCCATACATTCAAATGTTTTTGCAAAAATGAAGTACTTTCAGGCTGGGCACGATGGTGCATGCCTATAATCTCAGTGGCTCCAGAGGCTGAGGCTGGAGGATCTCAAGTTCAAAGCCAGCCTCAGCAAAAGCAAGGTGCTAAGCAACTCAGTGAGACCTAGTCTCTTATTAAAATACAAGATAGGGTTGAGGATGTGGCTTAGTGGTTGAGTGCCCCTGAGTTCAATTTCTGGTACAAAAAAAAAAAAGGAAAAATGAAGCACTGTCATTAGAATTATAACAATAAAGTACAAAGAAAAAAACTTCACCTTATAGAATAACTTTCATTTATAGTAAATGCTGTTAAGTTCTTCAGTGTTATACTATCATTTAAAAGATCAACTCTTTCTTTTTTAAGTATCTTATCCAACAAGTCTGTTATTTAGATGTCCTTGTATTTAGAACCCTAGGTAAATGTTTGTTGTACTACAAAAGCTGCTTATGGCTGGGTGTGGTAGCAAATGTGCCTGTAATTAACTAGCCTCAGCAACTTATACATACCCTGTCTCAAAAAAATTTTTTAAAAGACTGGGGTCAAGGAGGATATGGAGACTAAGTCCAAGGACATTCCCACCTATGCCTTTTCTAGGTAAAATTGAAGTTTTTGTCATTTAAAAGCCCAGACTTCAGCCCTAGTGAAGGAACACAAAGGGACTTGCACCTAACCACCCCCATGGGTCAGTTGACCCCAATACAATAAGTCCCAGGAAATTTCCTATTCACATTCCTATCTCACTCTAATGAATCAGCCCACCCCAATACAATGAACCCCCAAACTACCCTCCTGTCCCACCTTAAAAGAAGCCTATATAACCCAGACCCTTGCTTCAGCCCATTGCCATTTTCTGCCCCCCCAAAAGAGCCACACCAGGGTTCTACCAATTGACTTTGCTGCTGAATCCTGAATAAAGAGAAGCTTGCAGGGCTGCAGTTGTAGCTCATGGCAGAGTGCTTGCCTAGCATATGTGAGGCACTGGGTTCGATTCTCAGCACCACATAAAAATAAATAAAATAAATTTATTTTAAATTTAAGATAATAAAATTATCTTAAAGAAAGAAAAGCTTGCTGACTGAGGTTTGTCTCCTATCTCCCACCTTCCTCTCATTGTCTAGCCACCCCCAAGTATCTCTGAGATCCAGGAACTCATGCAGCTCATGCAGCTTCAGCTGAATCTCTAAACTGACTGCATTTCCTTACCCCATAGTACATAGGCCCTTCACACTCTCTGCTGTTCAGTTTATATAGAAAAATTTGGTATGTGAAACACAGGGGAGAACTCAAAGCAACTGAAAGCATCTGGCTAGGGAAACTCCCTAGTGTTGCATGAAGGCTTTGAATCTAAACTTCAACTACAACAGCCCTCAGGGGTACTAGATATCAATCACCTGCTAAACATTTGTGGCTTTATGCCACATGGACAGTAAAGGGATTTTTTTCTTTTTTGTGATGCTGGGGATTGAACTCAGGGCCTTGTGCTGCAAGGAAAGCACTCTACCAACTGAGCTATATCCCCAGCCCAGTAAAGGGATTCAACCAAACCCTTTGTTAACATTAAAGGACCTACTTCTACTCCACCCTCCAACCTTGCACACCCAGCAAACCTCATAGATCAGAGACCTCCTTGCCATTTTGTTTCTGCATCCACCACCAGTCTCATCTTTCCATCACTCAATTACCAAATTGTTGGGAAAAGTATAACGGCAGCCGCACCCCAGAGAAAAACCCCAACATGGCGCCTAAGGACCTTCTCTTCCTACTTTCCTCTTTTTTTTTCCACTGGCGTGAAAAGTTCCCGCGGGTGTGAACTCTCCCGCCGGCGCCAATTTCAAATCTCGCTGGCGGGGAAACTTAGCCCCAATAAGAACTAATTGGGCTCCGGAGCTGATATCTGGAAGAACTTGCCAATAAACGGGTGGCCTGCCATTTATCTAAGCCCTGCCATCTCTCCTTAGATCTATATAAGCACACAGCCTTTTGCAATAAAATTGGAATTCTCCCCGGCGAATTGTCTTGCGTGGAGGATTCTTTCACAAATATACTACCCTAGACCTTTATACTCCCGCTGATACTTTCTCCATGTCCAATTTATCAGCAGATCTGCACCTGATACCCATAAAAAAATTAAACAGAGAAGGATGCCAAGGCTTCCCAGAAGCAATTTCTAAATATTGCTTTCAAGACCTTTAACAATAGGGAAGACAAGACCAAATAGGAGAAGGAAAAGTTTCTTAAAATTAAACATCAGCTCCTAGCCTCAGCCATCCATAGGCCTAAAAATCCACGGCTGCTCATGGCCCCACCAGACCTTCTAATACATCTCCTGCGTCCTGTTTCCCAAGTGGATGAACTAGACTTTGGGCAAAAGCTTGCCCTAACCTGAACCCTGCTCCCCAAGCCCTGTCCCAAGTGCAGCAATGGGGAACTGGAAGGTGGTTTGTCCTCAGGGCAAAACACCCCTCCCTTCGGTGCAGCCAGCTTCCCAAGTCCCATACACTGAATTGCTGAAACAAGAAGATCCAAATCTCACTGCCCCTGTCACCCCAGATAATATACCTTAGGAGCCTCAAGTTACAGAGATGGTGAACAGCCAAGTAGCAGGCAAATATTCCTCTTCTGAAGAAATTTTAAGGGTACAACTAGCTGGTAAATGTCCTTCCTTAACTTAAAATAATTATCAAAAGGTTAATTAGTATTTTCCTTTCTGAGTGAGATCCCAGCCCCAAACCATGTAAACAGGAGCTTTATGTTAAGCCCCTACCCTCAACTTAAATTTAAGCAAAAAATTTAATGTTTGTCACTGAGAGGAAAATAACTCTAACCAGACCAACAAACAGTGGCATGTCTCAGTCCTCATTCTTTTTTTTTTTTTTTTATATATTTATTGTTTAGCTTTAGGTGGACACAATATCTTTATTTTATTTTTAATGTGGTGCTGAGGATCGAACCCAGTGCCTCACGCATGCCAGGCGAGCACACTACTTCTTGAGCCATATCCCCAGCCCTCAGTCCTTATTCCTAAAAGTAATGGGAGATAATGTTTCATTTTTCGCATCCAAACCTGGCCTAATTACCAACCAGGGAAGAAGGGTTAAAAAGCCCTAGGCAGCAATCTCCCTGGCCAGGCCATGCTGAAGCCTGCATTGGAAAGTAAACTGCAGAAGCCCCCAAGCCCGGTAGGGGACCCATCTGAAACTAAAGAAAAAAGAAGGAAAATATCCATTTAATATCTCCCTGGCTGCAAAACAGAAAAATGACTTCAGGGCTCTCTCTCCCTTTTACTGTCTTTCTCATTCTCTCATGCTGCTTTACTGTAATAATTAATGGCCATATCATTTTTTTCTAGGACTCTTGTTTTTTAAATTCTATATTCTTTTGAGCTCATGATTTTGACTCTGCGTGCTTAAGTTAAAATTTCTGATCAGACCTATTTTATCCAACTATAAAGGTTTATTATCCTCTGCTTTACTCAGAAGCCAATTTGTGAGGGTTGGCTCTTAATCTAATAGGTTTTAAAAAGCTATAAGGCCTTTGCTTGTTTGTTCTATGTATTATCTTGTCTACATGTGTTTGTGTATCAAAACTAACATATAAAGTGCTTACAAACTAAAATTCAAAAATATGGATCCAAATACATTTGAATCACGTGATTTTAAAAGTTCGCTTTAAAACTGAGTAAACAAATGAGAATAAAGGGTGTCTTTAAAGTTACTAAGTAAATGCTGTTCAATATACTTATCTGATACCTTGATTCTTATAGGCTCAGCGGTAGAGTGCTTGTCTAGCATATGCAAGGCCCTGGGTTCGATCCTCAGCACTACATAAAAATAAATAAATGAATAAAATAAATGTATTGGGTCCAACTACAACTAAAAAACAAATATTTTAAAAAATATTAGATTTCACATATATGGGATTAATCTTCATAAATGTGTTTGTTAGAAGCATTGATTAATTTGCAAAGTTAAAATGCTGTTAAATATAACATCAAGTACTCTTCTTGAATTCCATGGGGTGATATACTTGAACATTGTTTGTTTTCATGAATTGATAAACAAGCAGATGTGATACTATACACACACAGGATTAAAAGATAGGAAAGAGAAATTAGAAGATTCCAGGTATGGAAATATATTTAATAGAAGGAAAAATGTTTCTGGGTAAGAAAGTGTTTGTGTGATGAAATAAACAACATGAGGATCTATGCAAGGGCAAATTTCAATAAAGTTGGTTATATATATATTTGGAACAATCAAAGCATTTAAGTTTT